TGCCGGGTACTTGTATATCCCAACAACAAAAAGACACTAAGTACAGATCTGTTAGTACTCGCAGTTATTGACAGCTACTTCAAAGCCACTAACAAATCATGCATCTAAGACTAAATGATCAATCAGTACACATTCAATATCAAATGTATTTAGTGTTAAGACGTCATAAACAGTCAGAGAAAAACATGACCTTGTACAATGCCAAGGTACAGGTATCGACAGATTGTAGATCCATTGATGTGTATATGTATATACCAACAATATTTAGTTTCCTTTTAATTTACTGATAACAAAATCAATATTAATACCAATAAAAACAATATTCAATGATCTAATTACAGTGTTGAATTGGTAACCTTTAAGAATACATTTATTTAAAGGATCGATAAGTTTACCAAGATCGTTTCTAAATTTCTGGGCACGGTAACGAACATTTCCGTAAAAATGAGAATGTGCTACCCCGTTAGAAATAAGTTTTCTACTGGTACAACCAAATATTTATATCTATGGAAGAATTTAGTTAAGGTTGTAAGTAATTTATGGTAACGAAATCCCTGGCTTCATCATTTACCAGTAATACTTAGATTACGTTCGTTAAAATCAAAACACGTCACAACAGACACGGGCATAGCGAACGAGTAGTGAAATTTAAACACCGTAAGATGGTGCCTAAAGAACATCACCATCCAAAAAGTTTATTACTCTCTAAAAATAGTTAATTCCACTATTTTTATATATTTTATTACAATAGTTTCTGATAAGTTTTTTGATAGTAGTTAAAAAACTTGTAAAAATTCTGAAAGATTACTGTGGATTCATTATTATTCGTCGGTTACCAAATTTCGTGGAATTCGTGGGTACACTTTTAATGTTCAACGAACTACAAATTTTCCGCTAGCTTGTATGCAGACTTTACCAAAACCACGACAAATATTATCACCGAAAGTGTAAGTTTTCCGCAATCCACGAAAATTGGTACCCACGAAAATAAGTGAATACACAGTAGTTGTAGAACACTTACTTGTTTTTTTTTGTGCAACTTGTTTTGATTCGTTGTTACATGCTTTATAACATTATTAGTAATTTCATTGACACTAAACAAATATTGAAAGAAAACATCAAATCATGAGGGTCGTAATGGGGGTACATTTATGACAAATAACGGTAAAAATTCTTACCAAATGACGTAAACGGTAATTTTTGGTACATGACTATAAAATGTACACTTTCTTTTAGACGATAAAAAAATCAACTGATTTTGACGAATCACGTTAATTTTTTTCCAAAAATAACGGTAACGATAATTATTGGAGACCTCTGACGAATCACGATAAAGATATTTTGACGAATCACGGTAAAAGTTTAACCAATTTGACGCTAACGGTAGCCAAAAATCACCGTTTGACGCCTGACGGTAAATGGCATTCCTACCCTCAATCATGCGTTGAATTGCTATGTTTTAGTACGTTTTTGAACGTTTAGAGTGTTTTGGTGAACGATTTTGAAAGTATTACCGAGGATGAATTAGATCTCGGAATACTAAAGAATAAACATGAAAGTTACAGAAACTGCTAACTACTATCACTACAGGTAGACAGTTTACATGATTTACCAAATTTTTGGAGAATTCTTTTAGCAAAATGCCCGGGTAATGATGGCATTGATAGTTTGAGGTGCTGTTGTATATGTAATTCTGATCGTATATTGTTAAATGTCGTTTGTAGTTGTAATTCTATATTTTTTTCTATTCGTATTTAAAAGTAAAAATAACTAATCACCGACTCATTTATATGATTTCAGTTTAAAGCAATTATATGTACACGATTTATTTGTTTTACAGTTTGATTGAGAAGAAATACCAACATATCTAGATAATACAATTAATAATCGAATTACTAACACAATTCTATAGTTATATTCTTTTTATTTTTATAAAATACATCAAATAGCATATTATTGTAATTACAAACCTAATATTGAATTATATCCAATTTTTAGAAATTTACCTGTGATATCACTTTTGTGGCATTGATACAGTCGTGTGACGGACAGTTCGTGGTTCTGTTGTGCTGTTTTTTGTGTGCTGTCCTAGGTTGTTTTACGTGTTTGTTGTTGTTCTGTGGTTGGCATGTCGAAATGTACAATTGTATTGTTTGTTTGTGTGTTTTTCTGTCCTGAGTGTTCTTCCCATTATTTGTGCTGTGTTCCTGTCATGTAATGTTGTCATTTTGGCGGTATGTTTAACATTGCCATTTAAAGCGCAAAGTTTGACTAGCCACTAAACCAGGTTCAACCCACCATTTTTCTTAAATGTCTGTAACAAGTCAGGAAAATTACTGCTGTTATCTGTTGTTCGTTACTCTGTGTGTTGCATTTTCGTTTGTTTTTTGTTGCACTTCAGTGTTTCTATTGTTTCGCTGTTTTCCTCTATTAGTTGATGTGTTTGCCTTGGTTTTAATCTGTAACCTGATTTGTTTTCTCTCAATCGGTTTATGACTTTTGAACAGCAGTATACTACTGTTGCCTTTATTTAGCTCATTTGTTAGTTTTTATTCTAAAAAATAAAGAGTCACCAAAAATGAAAATATCAAAATAATAAACATAATCAAAATAATGTGATGAGAATACTATTTCAAAATAATTTTGTTGTCTTTTAGGATGTAGTTTATGTTTATCATTATGTTGCATTTTTAACTTGAGTCAATAAGGTATTGAGATCCTGATAACCAGATCAGCAATGTTACATTTTGGAGGCAATATGACCTTTTCAATGACATGAACGCTATTGGATGCTGAAAGGTCAAATTATGAGATTTTAGATCCTTCAACATGAATAGCAAATATACACAAATGCTCAATATTTTGTTCATAGATAGACTGATATAATTGACGTTTATATATGATTTTATATCAGTTTTTGACATTAACAATAAATATGATTTAATTTTTTTCTCTATTTGAAAGATGTACATTCAGGTGATTGAGTGTAATATGGTTAAAATTGAGAATAGAAATGAGGAATATGTCAAAGAGACAACAACTCGACCAAAGAGCAGACAACAGCCGAAGGCCACAAATGGGTCTTCAATGCAGCGAGAAAATCTCGCACCCGGAGGTGGTCCTCAGCTGGCCCCTTAATGAAATTGTGTGCTAGTTCAGTGAAAATGGATGTCACACTTAACTCCAAAATATATAGATGAACTAAAATTAAAAAACATACATGACTAACATTGGTATGCTCCTTACAAAAAATTATTGAAAAATATATAGTCAGCAGCTTTAAAGAGGTACATAATTGGTATCCGGCTAATCTTAAATATATGGATATGGATCATTTTTACACTACGCATTTACCTTTTCTTTCGCATTGATCATCCCCTTCAATTAGAAATTTCTGATTTCTGTACTTTTGAACATAAAGTAAAATACACTTCATAAAAAAAAACAATAAGAAAAGAAGAATATTCAAAAGAGTATATACACACATGATTGCATGCAAAGATGGGTCTTTACGTTGATGCAGCAACTCTATAACTTATTATAAATATATTTATTGTATGTATATCCTACAAAAGAGTCTATTTATAGGGATGGAAAAGATTTTCTAAGTTTGAATATCTCGATTCATATCCTTTTTCAAAAACAAATGCTGAAACCAAACATAAACACTAACAAAAGGGAACAGTATTCGCAAGTTGTCATCTGCAAGACCAGCAGCAATGAAATATTTTATGATTTAACTCTCTCCGTCAGCGTGAAGAGCCTCAACCAAATAACAACACCAGACACTTCCTACTACAAACACTAAGGCAAGACACTTTAACATTTTGAAGAAAGTTAGTTGGATGTTTATACACGCGATTGATGTAGCAATGACACACGCATTATTTTCGTGGTAACGATTGTATGCCTTCCTGTGTATAACTAAATTAAGAATCTATATTATTTATATAAGGTAATTAAAGGCCAATGTCAGAAATTTAATCTGTCTCCATGAACTTACTGTGAGGTTAAACAATATTTATAGTAACTAGTACAAGTGCACTACATGTCTACTTTATACCGTCATTACCAATACTACCTTTCAATGCGTAATGTCTATTTCGGATTGCAGCCTCATAAATAATATATTTTGTTATCTGAAAATCTTACCACACTTCAAACACAAACGCAAAAAGTGTAACATATGGACCGTTCCGATTTACAATGTTTCTTGTCTTGCAAAATTCTGAAATTATATCCAAAACCTACGAATTAACTCATTATCTATTCTTTGATATTGTAAATCAATAATATTTGTAAATCATATACGTGATTGATATACTTCAAGCGAGGAAATCACTTATGATATCCCTATATTGAGAATAAGTCAAATGTCATCCATGCAATAACAAATGTTAAGGATGAAGGTATGGGTAGATCAAAAATAAATTTCGTTTTCAAAAAACGTCACATTAGGTCCTTAATACCACACCTACGAGCATTGAACACATTATTTGATTTGATAATTTCATTATAATCCAGCTTAGTTTCAAATCGTCCCTACAACGTCTTATATTAACATTGTAGTGCCCTAATAATAAAAGAAAAAAACGAAATTTGTGTTAGATAAAATCATCTTTTCCTATCTCATTATATTTCTAATATCGTATTACTAGTACTGTAATTGTAGATACACATCTTAAGTTAATGTTTATAAATGTATACCCATAGGCATTGGTGAAATATGGGGATTTATCCATTCCCCTGAAACAGGTTTCTAGTAAGACCAAGTATTCTATATGTTAACTTTGGATACAAACCGAGTCACCTTTGAATTATGTAAAACTTGACAATGAAGTAATGTCTCAATAATGTCTCACGTTTGACTTAGTATGGTCAGTATCTTATCAAATTAAAATCATCAGGGAATTCCTACGTAGTCATTGAACCAACCTTACTATAAATTAAACAAAAATATTCACGTATTTCATTTCAATTCTGCAGTTTTGATTAAAAGGTCTTAACATGTTTAGGTATTGTTGTATCTTTCTTGCTGTTCATTGTGTTTTAGGTGGTAATTTGATTGAGGTGCTCCAAGCTAATGGCGAGTCTAGACTGATCAAGTATGCGACAGCCTGTGGATTAGCTGATACCATATTAGGAGGTAAAATAAATTTATCAATATACTAGTACATAATACATGTGTTAATATGTTTGTGAGAGTTGAAAAAGGAGAAGTGTTGGAAGATTTTTACGAAGCATCGTATAAAATAAAATAAGTCACATGAAATTTGCATTATAACAATCAATAGGTTCTACTACTATAAGGTTCGCCAAATATTATGAATATCAATAAAAGTGTAAATTAGACGTTGACGTTATATTTTCAAAATTTATTTTTAGAAGTACCTCGAGCGCAAGGAAGTTTTTTTTTCAAGAAGTACGGCATTAGCACATAATCAAAATTAGAATAAGCCAGAGTGTTCTTCCACGCCCTTCAAATCTAATTAAGAATATTAAAAAAAAACTAATATATTTCAACAAACAATGTCTTACTGGGCCTTTTGTGATGACATAACTTATTTAATGGGACGCCATGACTTACTTTTGAATAAAAATGTTTAGTTTGCCTTGTTTTATTTTAGATACTGACACGAATAAGAATCTTATACAGCTAATTCTAATTTAATCTTTCTTCTGACATGATTTTAGTTCCATTGAATGATATAGTCGAGCGTTCGGTACTGTAAGGTTTTGTGGACTACACCACTTTTTGAATTTTCCTTTGCGTTTGGTAGTTTCGGGAAATCGATATGTCCTATTGTCTATTCACAAATAGAGTTCCGATATATAGAATGAATGATGAGCACACAAGTTTGCCTTCCGTTTGATTGTTTTGTTTCGGTTTAAATTCAGTTTTCAATTTGTCATCTATTGTGTGCAATTTAGTCTTATCGACTATAATATTGACTTAATCTCTTGTTGTCTGTCGTTACTTTGATATATTTACTATTATTATCCGTCTTTCTGTTAAAGTGTTTGATTGAGACCTATGGCTTGTGTTTGAATTTCTTGTTTTCATTCTTTCTACTATGGGTTTTGATTGATTATTGTTGTCCGTCTTTCTATCGTGATCTGTTTTGCCATTCGTTTTTATCCTTTTATTTACTACAGAAATTCATGTTCTTGCTAAATTAGTTAAATTAGTTAAAACTTAGTACAAGAGGTCTAGTTGATATTGTGAACTTTTATTGTTTGCATAACGCAAAAAAATTGCTACTTAATTATTTGTAAAGAAACTCTATTCAAGTTTGTTTTTTTCATTCAGGAACATTCACAATCTTTGCACCCACAAATGCTGCATTTGACGCCCTTGGAACAGAACAAGAACTTCTTTCTGATAAAACTGTTCTCACCACAATATTATTGTATCACCTGACAAATGGAGTTATAAGGAGCACAGATGCAAGGAATGAGCTAACAGTAGAATCGGTTGCTGGACTGAAAATCAGATTTAATGTTTACCAGCATAACAAAGTAAGTGCAATCCGTTTATAAGGTTATCATCTGTTTTAAATGTTTTGCAGATTGTGAGTGCAATGTGTGATAAGATTATCTGTATTTAAAAATGAAACTTTGATCTATTTCTACACATGATTTATTCTCTCTATTTTACTATTTGAAAAAGAATGTAAGCCGCATTCATATCCGTATTATGAGCGAGTAACTTCTTGATTTTATAGACTTTTTCTCTTATACAAATACATTTTTACTCCATTGTATAACTTTATAAATGACTAATCTGAATTTTTTCTTATTTCATTTTTACCATAGGCAGTCACAGTTGAAGGTGCTAAAATTTCAAAACTTGACCTGAATGCTTCTAATGGAATCGTCCATGTCATTGACAAAGTAATGATACCACCTACCGGAGGAATTGTCGATCTCGTATCAGGGAACAAAGATCTTAGCACATTATTGTCATTAGTCCAGAAAGCAAATATTACAGGAATAATTCAACGTTAGTATTTTGTATTTAGTATAATGTTTTCCTTTTTACAATTTACATAAATCTTGTATATAATAAACAAAAACAGCAGTAGTAAATCGATGTTCAAAAGTCATCAGTTGATTAAACGAGAGACAAAATCCAGGTTACAAACTAAAACCGAGGAAAAAAACGGAACACCAAATACTCTGAACTGCAACAAACACTAGTCAACATGCATAGAAACGAATTGTTCGATAACAACTGCCATAAACTTGACTTTTTTATACAGGACATTTTAAGAAAACATGATTTGTTAAACCTGGTTTTATGGCTAGCAAAACCTCCCGCTTATAAATTTGGCAATGTAAACACACCGCTAAAATTACAACACTACGTGACAGGAATACAATACAAACAAACGCTAGAACACTCAGAACAGAGAAATACATAAATACAAAATATAATAGTACATTACAACATGTAAAGCGCAGAATAACAACGGACACCTCCCATGATTTAAGCGAAGCATAAATTGCGTGCACAAGAATCGATCAACGCCACAAAAAGTGACGTATTTTATGTGATTTATGTTATCACAATTAAATTACTTCATAAAACAAATACCTCAACAAATAAATAAAAACAACCAAAGAAACATAAATAAAAAAGGATTGATTCCTTCCTACTCTGTTTGTTGTTTTTTTTCCATTTTTGTCCTAAACCTATTAGCTTGAAATGCATGTGTATGATATGTTTTAAGCACGGAATGCAAAGACACATACACATGTTTTCAATTACTACTCATAATGATCATTATGCATTGTCAATGACAGCTATATTCTACACACAGGTGATCCATTAACAGTATTTGCACCAACAAATGCTGCATTTTCAAGATTACCTGCAAATGTTTTAAGTAGATTGAATAGTGATACAGCTCTTCTTAAAGGTAAATATAAATGTATGTAGGTGTAGATAAAAGGTATCTTTTTTATTATCAACACAATTTTTTCCTTGTTTTATTTTGGAGACATCAACTAAAATTAGAACTTAATTTTAGACATATATATAGCTAATGTAACTTGGAGAAGTTGAATGGAGGGAAGGGGGTGTTTGTTTGTTTTCAATCAGTAAATATTAAAGAAAAATGCAAAAATGATGTTACCGTAACAAACAACAGCAATAATTGAATCCGTACGATTTTTATTACAGAGGTTTTAGAATATCATTTAGTACCACATACAGAATATTCACCTGGTTTATATAACAGAGAATATCTCAGAACGTTAGATTCAGAGAGGGACGTCATTCGTCTAAGTGTGTCAGGTGAGGTATATTAAATATCACGAAAGCTGGGTTAAGGATGTACTTATGTGCAATTTAACAAATCAAATTCAAAATTGATATTATCAGTCAAAAGAGCATTAGCCAAGAAACAAAATAAGCTAAAAATATTGACAGGTTATGGAATTCCTTTTCCAGATATTTAAACTAGAAAAAAACGGCAGGACAAGGTCGACTCGGTCTTTTACCTTATATTTTTATTGGTATTATATGGGTCTCTAACCGAGAATATGCTTACATTTTGATAAATTACCTTCTATGAGCTATTACAGTCTTATATAAAAGAAAAATGGGTGTTATGGCCAAAATAGTGTACCCTGTATCATAGAAAAACAACCAAGGAGTCCGAACATCTGACACAAATTTCTAAACCTCAACTACAGAAATCCTCAAATACAAATATATATTTTCTTGATCGAAAATATCCCAGTTAATCCTGCAACTTTATTGGTTATCTAAACAGGTGACATGAGCCCATATTCAATGTAAAAGAAGGAAAGATAAAAATTGTAACACTAATGTAATCAGGACACCCAAGTATTATATAATTGTTATTCTGGTTGAAATGGAATAGGTGTTCATATTCCTTACCAATGTCCTATATCCCCTTTGCCTGGCGGCTCGTGGGGTATAAAATGATGACAGGTAATACGAGCCAATATTCCCTGTGAAGATCCAAAATAACATATATAATTAATTAATTAAAATTAATTTAAAACAATTAAGGCAAAATTTGCTTAAACCGGTGACAATCTGCATATAGCTCATGTTCCGAAACAGAAGCTTTGAATTGAAAACTAGTATCAGTGGAAACAAACTACATTTGTTTAACATCAAAAATGGATAGAATCCGAGGTCTAAAAGGCATTAGTTTTAGACTTTGAAATGTCTTAGTATAAGGAAAACTTTCATAGTTTTTGCGCCGCAAACAGATAACTAAAATAAAACAAAAAAGAATTCAATACTATTCGGAGTAATATCTCCTGTGTTACATATTATAGGCTTCCCAAATTAATGGTGTCAAGTGTACCAGAAGCTTCTTTGAAAACTAGAATCTTTAAATTTATATATTATACATCTTTTTACATTTACTGCTTTAAGAGATCTTCATGTACAGCGAAACTTGTATGCATAAGGGTTTGGTATACACTAATAGTTTGACTCACGTTTATTCCTAGTAGCTACTAAATATTTAAACGAGGAACAGAACAGGATATATTGCAAAAAAGATACTTTAGACATTTGAGCCGAGATACTACTTTCGTATAAAACTTTAGATTAATAAAACCTATCTTTTATATACGTAATATATATATTTTATTTTACAGAAAGGGGAGTGTCAGTGAACTCATATGGGCAAGTTATAAAAGCTGATATTCCAGCTACAAATGGCGTTGTTCACTTAATTGATCATGTTCTCATCCCACTCCGATATTGGCTTTCGTTTGGCTTTGGAAAATAATTTATAACTGACAATAGTGTGTTGGTTACACTATAATCTTTACATATGTTGATTTGTAATTTATGTAAATACATTCTATCTATACTTACGTGAACAATGTATGCAATATCGTCATTATCATGATTATCTCATAATAAAATTCAAATAAATTATGTTTTTTATTTTAGTCTTCGTAGATGTGTGCATCTACAAGTTATACCACAAAATCATTGTACGTCACATCAGGTTGCATACGAAAATAGACCGAAAACAATATCTTGGGTATTTCAAAGCACCATTATTGTTTTAGTTTTGGTTTCTATAGAATATTTCGGAATCTTGAGGTTCCTGTATAAAGTCAGCCTCACAATAATAAAGCAACAAGTCGGCAAGAAGAGGGGCACAATTGGTTTCCATTGGAATGCCGACAGTCTTTTGAAAAACACGTCCTCCAAACGTAACAAATATGTTGTCAATGAAGAAATCAAGCATCTTGATAATGTCAGTTTCAGAGAATGTTTTGTTTGAATCAGAGTGATTCTTTACAAAGAAGGATTTATCGCTTCCTAAGACAAGATACTTGTTTCTACGTTGGCCATTCTTTTTTTATGAAACAAAGCAATACCTACTCTTTCAATTTGTCTTTTAGTTTGGAATAGGGAATACTTATGTAAAGTGTAAAAAAGTCAAATGTTTGAATAATATTGCATGATGAAAGAATCTAAGATTGTATGTGCTCTAAAAAATCATAAGATTTTTTTAGTATCCACATTTGATTCACGACACCTCTAGAATAGGCAGTTTCACAATAACTTTGACGACCAGATTTGATTGCTGATAAAATAGATGTTAATATATAATAGATAGACTGATATACTTGACGTTCATACATAATTTTATTACAGTGTTTGACATTAACAATAAATATGAATTAATGTTTATACTCTATTTGAAACATGTACATTTACTTGATTATGTGTATATGTATCAAATCTTGTTTTTGTTCCTAATGAGGTTTCTAACTGAAGATCGTTTTTGTAGACTGAACTAGGGATTGTATCTTCGAAAACGTGGTTATTTCTGAATATTCGCTAAAGCTGTTGTGCCCTTGAGAAGTTCTGTTCCAACTGCTTCAAATGAAGCATTCGTTGGTGCAAAGAGTGGTATGTTCCTGACAAAAATGTATTGACAAATATATTGTCAGAAGCTTCTAAGTGGTACATAATTAGTGTCCGGCTAATCTTAAATATAAATGAATAAGGGTTATTTTTCACTATGCATTTACTTTTTCAGTCGGATTGATGATCTCTTTCAATTAGAAATTTCTGTACTTTTAAACATAGAGATTTTTTTCGTAAAATACACTCCAAAAGAAAAACAATGTTATTATTCAAAAGAGTATATAAACACATGAATGCATGCAAAGATGGGGCTTTATGTTGATCTAGCAACTCTATAATTTATTATAAATATATATCTTGTATGTATATCCTACAAAAGAGACACCAGAAACTTCCTACTATAAACAATAAGGCAAGACACTTTAATATTTTGAAGCAAGTAAGTTGGATGTGTATTCCAGTGTGAAACTATTTTTGACTATAATACACCCGATTTATGTAACAATGACACACGCATGCTTTTCGTGGTAACTATGATATGCTGTCCCGTGTATAACCATGCTCAAAATGTATGATATTTATATAAGGTAACTGAAGGCTACTGTCCGAAATCAAGTCCATCTCTATGAACTGACTGTGGGGTTAAACAATATTTTTAGCAACTCCTACAAATGCCCTAGACACCTACTCTTTGCCGTTATTATCAATACTACCTTTCAATGCTTTGTGTATTTTGGAATGCAGCCTCGAAAAATAATATACATTGTTATCTGACAAATCTTATTAAATTGTATTCAAAACCTTACGAATTAATCATATATTCTTTGACTTTTTAAATCATAAATATTTGTAAATCATATACACGTTTGAAATCACAAATGATCGACCATTGTTGAAAATAATAAAATGTTCTTCCATGTAAAAGTAAAGGACGACGGTAAAGTTACATATAATTTTTACTTTCCAAAGGGTTGTAGAAACAAACGACAACAATTAAGTCTTTAAAACTACAAGTTCATGCATTACACATATTACATGTATTATTTGACTTAGTACTTTCATTATAATCAACTTGGAGGAATTGGAGGAAAATTAAGATACAATAAAATTGAGAATGGAAATGGGGAATGTGTCAAAGAGACAACAACCCGACCATAGAACAGACAACAGCAGAAGGTCACCAACAGGTCTTCAATGCAGCGAGAAATTCCCGCATCCGGAGGCGTCCTTCAGCTGGCCCCTAAACAAATATATATACTAGTTCAGTGATAATGAACGCCATACTAAACTCCAAATTGTACACAAGAAACTAAAATTAAAAATAATACAAGACTGACAAAGGCTAGAGGCTCCTGACTTGGGACAGGCGCAAAAATGCGGCGGGGTTAAACATGTTTATGAGATCTCAACCCTCCCCCTATACCTCTAGCCAATGTAGAAAAGTAAACGCATAACAATACGCACATTAAAATTCAGTTCAAGAGAAGTCCGAGTCTGATGTCAGAAGATGTAACCAAAGAAAATAAACAAAATGACAATAATACATAAATAACAACAGACTACTAGCAGTTAACTGACATGCCAGCTCCAGACTTCAATTAAACTGATTGAAAGATTATGTCTTCATCATATGAATATCAGGCACAATCCTTCCCGTTAGGGGTTTAGTATCATACCATCATAACATATACGAGAAGAACATAACCCGTGTCATGCCAACAACTGGTTTTTAAATAAATGTGTTTAGTGCCGATGCAAAGACCCTATAAGTGAATCAATATTAACGCCAAAATATGCAATCTTTAATGACCTGACAACAGTATCGTAACTAACCGAGTCACCTTTGAATTATGTAAAACTTGATAATGAAGTTATGTCTAAATAATGTCTCACGTTTGACTTAATCTGGTCAAAATCTTATCATTTCAAAATGACCATGATATTCCTTCGTAGTCAATGAGCCAACCCTACTATAAATTTAACAACAACTATTGACGAATTTCATTTCAATTTTGCAGTTTTGATTAAAAGGTTTTAACATGTTTAGGTATTGTTGCATCTTTCTCGCTGTTCATTGTGTTTTAGGTGGTAACCTGGTTGAGGTGCTCCAAGCTAATGGCGCGTCAAGACTGATCCAGTATGCGACAGCCTGTGGATTAGCTGATACCATATTAGGAGGTAAGATAAATATATCAATTTACTATTACATAATATATGTTTTAATATGTGTGTTCGCGATATTTGAAAAGGAAGACGTGTGGGAAGATGTATACGAAGCATCGTATAAAGTAACAATAATTCATATGAATTTGCAGAACAGCAATTGACAGGTTCTATTGTAAGGTTTGTCAAATATTATGAATATCAATAAACATTTAAAATAGATTTGACACTTTATTTTTAACATATAGCTTTTAGTAGTATCTCGAGGGCAAGGAAGTACTTTTTTTATAAGAGTACTGCATAAGAAGATAACCAATATTGAAAGACGCAAGATTGTTCTTGTACACGCTTCCAATGCCATTTATAATCATCCAAAATCGACAAAATTGGACAAACATTTTTTTAAATGAGCTTTTTGTGATGTTATTACTCATGATTTTTTACTAACATTTTTTTGTTTCGTCTCAATTTTTATACAGACATAACTAAGAATCTTATACATCCAATCATTTAATTCACCATTTCTATTTGAATGCATGTACAAGTCAGGAGTTAAATAGTTTTATCCGATTCGTTCCGTTGGATGATACAATCGAGGATTTGGTTTTGTCCTGTTTTATTGGCCTCTTGAATTTTTCTTGAAATTCGATATTTTTGTGAATACATTTTTTATACATTGTATTCAAATTGATAGTTCAGTAAAAATTAAGGACTTATGCAAATAATAAGTATGCCCTATCAACAAATTGAGCTGAAAATACAATGAATGATTGAAAAAAGAATTTTAACAAGTACACTTTTTTTAACTTGTATTTCTTTTTACCAAATATGCTTGTTAAATTGAGATTAAGATAAGAGTTTAAGCTCCTCTTGTTGTATCCTGTTATGTTTCACTAACATTGGTTAAAATATATATGAATATATTTATTGAGCAACAAGTGTACAACAGTTTTATGCATTATGAATTTATGTATTTAATTTGTATACCTCTTTTTGTGATCTCAGTAATTGATTAAGTTTCATTGTTTTGTTTTTTCAATAGCTTCTAATGTATATATGAACAAATATGTGATAAGCATTTACATTTTCTATTTCTGATTAGATACATAATATGATTTGTATATAGAAAAATCTAAATTTGTAAGAAAATAATTCAGACCAAAATAGTGTGTTGTCAATAATCTTTATTCCAAATATAAATTGCTTTTCCGTCAGAATATATATGACCTTTATTTTTGTTAATCTATTGTTTTCTATCAGCACATATATACAAATATACATTTCGCCTAATTTGCACTATATTTTGAGGCTTTTGTTCATTTCCTAAATAGAGGGTTACTACAAGCTAGATGCTAATTAACAACTGACTTTGAAATCTAGTGATCAATGTGAAAGTTTCACGGACTCACGCCTTACATTCCTTGTTGATATTCCGAATTTGACTCTTCCCTAAACTGTGTTTGTAATGAAAACAAAAAAAGTGCCAATTACGGAGCAAAAATGTGCTTACCTTCCAGATCACATGAGTTGGTTTTTAGTTGTATTGTCGGGATACTTTTCATGATTGATAATCTTACGTTTTCAGTTAGTCGTCCGTAAGTATTGAAGTCTTATCGATTATCATTTTGATTGTATCGCTTGTCATTTTTTCTATTATGGTTTTGGGTTGTTGTCTCTTGCTGTACGTCTTTAGATTTATTCTATGCATTTTATTTGTATCTCTCTTGTTGGCCGTCTGCCTATAATGGTTTTTGTAATTTTCTCTTGTTGTCCGTCTGTGTTCTATGGTTTTTATAAGTATCCCGTGTTGTTCGTCTTACTTCTATGGTTTTTATAAGTATCCCTTGTTTTTCGTTTGTCTTTGTTTGAATTTCTTGTTACCCGTCTTTCTGCTATGGTTTCGTTTGTCAGTCCTTGTCATCCTTTGTCTTTTCTACAGAATTTCATTTTCTGAATAAATCATTAATAAATCAATCATTAAATCATCAATCATAAACTGATCATTTTCTACTTTTTACAATAAAAATGTAAACCGCATTTAAATCATTATTATGAGAAATTAACTTCTTGATTCTATTTGACTTCTTTCCGTATCCAAATACATTTTTACTGCATTGCATAACTTTACAAATGATTAATCTGAAACTTGTCTTATTTTCATCTTTCATATAGGCAGTCACAGTTGGAGGCGCCAAAATTTCAAAATTTTTTTATGACCTGGATGCTTCAAATGGAATCGTCCATATCATTGACAAAGTAATGATACCACCTACCGGAGGAATTGCCGATCTCGTATCAGGGAACAAAGATCTAAGCACATTATTGTCATTATTCCAGAAAGCAAATATTACAGGAATTATTCAACGTTAGTATTTTGTATTTAGTATAATGTTTTCCTTTTTTCCAATATACGTTTTTCCTATATATAATAAGATACGTACATAAAAAACACACATAAAAAAAATTCAATCCTCCGTACTTTATTTGTTGTTTTGTCCTAAACTATATTGATTGAAACGTATTTGCATTATATTGTTTAAGCACGGAATGCAAAAACGAAAATATGTGCTTTTCTTTGTCAATAAATCGTGATATTTTTTTAATCATGATTATCGCTTTGCACTGTCAGTGACAGCTTCTTTTTTACACACAGGTGATCCTTTAACAATATTTGCACCAACTAATGCTGCATTTTCAAGATTATCTGCAAATGTTTCAAGCAGATTAAATAGTGATACACAACTACTTATAGGTAAATATCAATACATGTAGATGTTGAATAAATGTATTTGTTAATTTGCAACTCCATGTAAAAATTTATTCTTTATTTAATTTTGTGGACAGGATTTAATATGGAGACTAAATTTCAGACATACATATAGCTTATGTAACTTGGTGAAGTTGAATGTAGAATTGTAAACTTAATTTGACACAAGTTAAAACGGCTTTATATATTAATTCATATACAGCGCCTAAGTCTTTCCAATTTAAGCTAGACTAACGTACTAGCATTTTTTGGCACTTAACGAGTCAAGTTTTAAAGTTTTTGGCTTCACATATAGGTAACTGCAAAAAACGTTTACTTGTCTACTGAAGATGTTCAAACTTAAATTTTAAAAGAAAATTCAAAGCTCTTAAGTCACACATACTAGAAAACGCCATGGTAAAACACCGACGAAATGCAATTGATCCCGCAAAACAATGCATAGAAAACTACAAACTGATCCCTGTAAACCCCACCTAACCGCGATATGATCTCTTATGCTATGGTAGGGTTGGCGGATGAAAGAACAAGACGATATAAACCTTTAAGTAATGGCTTTTTTGTTTGTTTCTATTATTTGTTCTCTATCTTTTTATATCTGAAATGTTTTGTTCTTTTTTTTTTGTGTTTTGTGTTTGTTTGATATCAATTAAAGGCATATAAGATGTAACCGTATCAACAACAGGAAATATTAAATCCTTACTATTTGTATTACAGAGGTTTTGGAATATCATTTAGTACCACATACAGAATATTCATCTGGTTTATATAACAGATTATCATTAGGAACGTTAGATCGAAGGGAATATATTACTCTAAATGTGTCAGGTGAGCTTTAATAAATTGTTTGGAAGCTGGGTTAAATCCAAATATATATTTTACTGGAGTAAAATATTCCGGTTAATTCTGCAATTTGATTGGTTGTCTAAACGAGAGATATGAACTCATATCCTATATAAAGAAAAAACAAAGATAAAAATGGAGATACTGTCGAAATCAGGATTAGGGTATAATATTATTGTAATTCTGTCTTCACATGGGAAACGGGCTCATATTCCCTGTCAATGTCCTATATCCCCTCCTCCTTGAGGATCAGAAAACACTTTACGAGCCCATATCGCCTCTGAAGATCCAAAATAACATATAATATTAAAAAGAATTGAGATCAATTTAGATAAGATTTTTTTAAACAAGTAACAAACTCCATATATCTCATGTTCTGAAACCAGAAGCTTTCAATTGAGAAGTATTCTAATTGAAAACACATGTAACTACATTTTTTTAACATCGAATATGGATAGAATCTTAGGTTTAAAAGGCATTAGTTTTAGACTTTGAAATGTAATAGTATAAGGAAAACGTTCATAGTTTTTGCACAAATAGATAACAAATATATAACAAAAAAGAATTGTATACATTTCAGAATTGAAGATCTCAAATGTTACATATCAAAGGCCTTCCAAATTATTGGTGTCAAGTGTACCGAAAGTTTCTTCGAAAACTAGAATCTATAAATTTATATATTATATATCAATGGTTTCAATTTTTTACATTTACTATTTTAAGAGTTATCTATGTACAACGGGATTTTTATGCATTAGAGTTTTGTATAAACGAGTAGTTTACTAAATCATGTATACCTAGAAGGTACTAAATATTCAAACGAGGAACAGAACTGAAAATATTGCAACAAAAGATACTTTAGACATTTGAGCCGAAATGAAACTTTCGTATAAAACTTTTGATTTATAAAAGCTATCTTTTATATACGAAATATATATTTTATTTTACAGAAACAGGAGTATCAGTAAACTCATATGCACACGTTATAAACGCTGATATTCCAGCTACAAATGGTATTGTTCACGTTATTGATCATGTACTTATTCCACGCAAACATAGGCCTTCATTTGGCTTTGGAAAATAATTTATAACTGACAATAGTGTGCTAGTTACACTATAATCTGTACATATGTTGATAGTAGGTGGAAGCTCCGTACAAATGTTGTTAATGAAAAAAGTGTGACATTAAGGTTGAATAGACCAGTTGAATTCAATAAAGCTGTATATAAAATTGGGTTAATTATATGACCACACACTTGTATTTGTAAAAATGTAAACTTACACATGTTTACAATCTTCTTCATTGACTGTCATATTTATAAATAGTATAACAACTATCAATTATATATAAGTACAATCAGGTCATCTGTTTAATCAAACTGAAATGAAAAAAATGCTTGAGTTTTATGTAACACCATCTTATTTGTGTTGGATTCCTCAACTCCAACATAGAAAGATCAATTTACAGAATAATGGCATTTTTGATTTGATACTGACTTTATCAGCAAGAATATCATGCGAGCCCGCTAGGGCAAGCTGATATTCGAGCTGATGAAGTCAGTATCAAAAATAAAAGGCCATTATTTTGTTTATCGGCAATTTGATATTTATTGTATATATTTGTTGTTGAGAATATGAAGTAAAATGGAATAGTTCGTAAAAACTACTTTTACGCGTACAAAACGTTGGGATAGTTGTTCGGTTGTATGAATAAAGTCGCGTGCATTTCATTGATAAATTGATGCGGATGGACTTGAACAAGCGACGTTGCTGCACTGGTACATGACGTCATTGCCTAATATTTTCGAGTATCAAGTCCTGTCCATGATCTTAAAAATATTAGGCTGTAAGATCAAAGGGGAAATGTACAAATTGCCGATGAAATAAACTATCAGAACTGTTAAAGCAATACATGTACCTATATACTTAATTCAGGGCTTACATGTATAACATTAAATAATGAAAGAAATGCTTAATTTATTATTCAGCTACATGTACAAGTACAAAAATGTATTTGTGATGAGCTTTAACACCAAATATTGGATTTTTTATTATTTATTTTATTCTTATGTTGGCCACATGTGTGCAACCTTCATTTACATGAAGCAACAAGTGGTTATATAATGGTCAGGCTAGAGAATTGGGGAAGATGTGCTCACATTAATTTGCAACGATGCAATATGTAAAAAGTCCATTCTTTACGCCATCTATTACGCTATTTGTAAGTGCTTGTATCTACATAAAGGACATAAATACAGAAGTATCGAAGTATGGCGATTGTTAAAAAAATATTAAAAAGCTAAATCGTTATTCCTTGGGAGATTTTATTGTTGTTTTGGAAATATTTGAAGCCCCTCAAGTATGAAAATATGCCCCCTCCCTCCTTGAAATAGCTACATTTCAAAGCATCATTGAAATTGAAATGATGGAGAAGTGCACTTTTGATTTAATAATGTAGTTTCATGTATTTTATGGGAAAAAGGGGGGTGAGTTAAATCTGCAAGATTATATTGTCTTATTCAATCCTGGACTATAAAAAAGATGATGTCGTGTGATTGCCATTTGAGACAACTCTTCACAAGAGACCAAATGACACAGAAATTAACAACTATAGGTCACCATTCTGCCTTCAACAACGAGCAAAGCCCATACCGCATAGACAGCTATAAGAGTCCCCGACAAATGTAAAACAATTTAAACGAGAAAACTTACGGCCTAGTTAATGTACAAAAATGAATGAAAAACAAATATAAATATATAACACAACAACAAACAACAACCAATGAATAACAGGCTCCTGACTTGGAACAGGCACATACATACATAATGTGGCGATGTTAGCGGGATCCCAACACTCCCCCAACCTTGGAAAGTGGTCTAACAGTACAAAATAAAAACGAACTATAAAAACCAGTTGAAAAAGGTTTAACGCATCAGAAGGATACCAATAGAAATACATCTAACAAAAACACAGAATGGAAGTGGCTGGGCACTTATACATCCCAACAACAAAAAGACCATGAATACTGTTATAGAGGTGATTTTTGTTGTTGTTTCTTTTAAATAGAGGTTATTACAACAGTATCAGTACTTGGCTCTACAAGTACTGATGTTGTATTATTATTTTATTGAAAAAAACATGAACATGTTCACATGTTATTTTAAATTATAGATAATGTCCACTCTCTCAGATCTTTTTATTCTGTCCTTCAAAATTCTGAATAAAAATTTTCCAAGGTTTTCCAAAGTTTAATGGTCGATCCCTAATTGCGTGTATTCTTGTATCCAGGATGATTAAGCAATTTTTTAACCGAAATATAATTACATATAAGCTCATGTGTGTTTACCAGAATTACATTATTTCTCAACTTAATCGACATCGATTTTCGTGTTGATTTCTTTTGTTGTCTGCTGTCATATGTCATTTGTCTGCTTGTCATCTGTTTACTTCCGGTACATAATTAACAAAACTCAGCCGGATTTTTTACAACAAAAAACAGCGATTTTTTTTTTTCGCTGTGGCCGGATTCGAGTTACAGAATGAAACTTCGCAAATATCTTCCAAATGAAATTTGAGAGCTCTCCATCAAATATTATTTTGTAACGTGCATGCGGCAAAATCCAATCCGTTTGAAATTATGGTAATATTTCCGGATATGAACACATTCCGGCAACAAATGCACGGATAAGTTTTAGTAATCTCACTTGTAAGAGGATTGCATATCCATATCACGCAATGTTTGACGACACAAATATTTGATCTGAAACATTGTAACATTGTTTTTACTCATAACGCTTATGAATTTTTAATGAATAATTGGGCCTACAGAGCCCTCTAATGACACTTCTCCAAATTTATGTAAATACATTCTATTTATACTTACGTGTACAATGTATGCAATATCGTCATTATCATGATTATTTCATAATAAAATTCAAATAAATATGTATTCTATTTTAGTTTTTGTAGATGTTTCCATCTGCAGGTTTCAACTGGGTTCAACCCACCATGTTTTCATAAAATGTCCTGTACAAAGTCAGAATTATGGTAGTTGTTACTTAAAAGTTCGTTTCTAGGTATGTTGCATTGGCGTTTGTTTTTGTTGCAAATCAGTGTTTCTGTTGTTCCGTTGTATCTTATTATAGTTGATGCATTTGCGTTGGACTTGGTTTGTGTCCCGGATTTTTCTCTCTTAATCGATTTATGACTTTTGGTCAGATGTATACTACTTTTGCCTTTATTTAAAGAAATTGCACTTAACAAAACTGCACAATAAAGTTTAACAATTCCGTGTTTGTTTTTTTTTTTTTTGCTTCTTTTTATGACATAGACAATGGAAATACATGACTAAAGCTAAATAAATTATATTTATGGATAAGTATTATCTTACTTATCTTACAATCCTATATGTTTAAGGATACAAAATCAACAATAAAAATTGTACCGATGCCATTTCAAATATGATATTAATGAGTTATTATAGTGTAAGGGAATTAAAATGCATGATACCGATGGCAATGCTTACAACACATATTTCATAACCTCCATTAGGTGCGCTCGATGCAACAGTTTTTGAAAGCAATCCAAGTAGAACGAAACCTAACAGAAAACAGATCAGATCAAACATGTTTTAAGGGCCAACCTCTATTGCAAAACGTACACCAAGTTGTAGATAAAGGCAACAGTAGAATACCGCTGTTCTAAATTCATAAATCGATTGGGAAAAAATAATCCGGGTTACAAACTAAAACTGAGGGAAACACATCAAATATAAGAGAACAACGACAAAACAGAAACACTAAAATGCAACACACACAGAAACGAACTATAAGATAACAATAGCCATTTTCCTGACTTGGTACAGGACATTTTAAGAAAAAAAATGGTGGGTTGAACCTGGTTTTGTTATATATTATTATATCTTAAAGCTGTCATTCACGCTTGCGCACTCATGTCAAAACACTAACAATCAAACAAACAGATCATTAACGTTGCAGAATGATAACCTCTGTCTCCCTTGTTTAAAACCCTGTTTAAGACGTTCAGAAACTGTAGTGTAGTTTTTTTCATGTATGCAATGTGGCAATAAACATTCTAACATCTTTGTAACATTGCTTTTTAACACTCTAAACATTGTTTTAAAAATACAACTTTTAAAGAGAAGACTAGAGAGTATCAAATTATGAAACAACGTCTTTTTACTTCTATATGGTACATTTAAGGTGGACCATCGGTATACATTTTCTCAGATAAAATTTGTTTATACTTTGCTAACATGTATAATTTACAATCCACGCAACAGTTTTTGAAAGCAATCCAAGTAGAACGAAACCTAACAGAAAACAGATTAAATCAAACATGTTTTAAGGGCCAACCTCTATTGCAAAACGTGCACCAAGTTGTAGATAAAGGCAACAGTAGTATACCGTTGTTCGAAATTCCTATATCGATTTGGAAAAAACAATCCGGGTTACAAACTAAAACTGAGGGAAACACATCAAATATAAGAGGAGAACAACGACAAAACAGAAACACTAAAATGCAACACACACAGAAACGAACTATAAGATAACAATAGCTATTTTCCTGACTTGGTACTGGACATTTTAAGAAAAACAAATGATGGGTTGAACCTGGTTTTATTATATATTATTATATCTTGAAGCTGTCATTCACGCTTGCGCACTCATGTTTAAACACTTACAATCAAACAAATAGATCATTAACGTTGCAAAATGATAACCTCTGTCTCCCTTGTTTAAAACCCTGTTTAAGACGTTCAGAAACTGTAGTGTAATTTTATTCATGTATGCAATGTGGCAATAAACATTCTAACATCTTTGTAACATTGCTTTTTAACACATGACTCTGAAAATTGTGTTAAAATACACAACTTTTAAAGAGAAGACAAGAGAGTATCAAATTATGAAACAACGTCTTTTTACTTCTATATGGTACATATAAAGTGGACTATCGGTATACATTTTCTCAGATAGAATTTGTTTATACTTTGCTAACATGTATAATTTACAATTTTTATCTCTATCGATTTATGAGTTTCGAACTGCGGTATACTACTGTTGCCTTTATTTACAATACACGATGACAGTTCACACTTAATCTACCTTAATTAATAAAAAAAAATCATGTCGTAAATTAAAAAAAAAAAACGATGACGGTTCACACTTAATCTACCTTAACTAATGAAAAAAATCATGTCGCAAATTAAAAAAAGACATATCATATATGTTTTTGTTGCATTGTTTTTTTTTTGCGGGTTTCGGAGCGTTTCAGATTGTAAAACTGACAAAAAACATATTGTTATGGCTGCTCATGTGAAATGTGTATTTCTTACTAGGTTACCCGAGGTAACTTTTGATTTTTGTCTCGCTTGACGGAGTCAAAAAGGGAGACATAGGTATGCTGTTTCCGGCGGCAGCGCGTCAACAATGTATTAGTTTGTGATTATGTCTAGTTTGTGAAGAGCCACAAGGTCAATCATATTCGGTAAGTAGATGCAATAGCATTGGCACATCTCATTTCGATTGAGATTATTTGGTCCTGCCCCTCAGTCATGGTCTATTTACTTTGAAACTTTTGCTTATTTTACATGTATTAGTTTGTGATTCGGTCAGTTAATGAGGAACCCCTAGTGGTATGTCAATGATATTTGATATGCAGTTGTATCAGCATTAGCATATCTTATTTCTATGGAGATTGTTTGACTCCGCCCCCTTAGTCATGGTCTTTTGACTTTGAAAATTTTGCTTAGTTAACATGTATTAGTTTGTGACTAGGTCAGTTCAAGGGGAACCATAAGTGGTAGGCCAAAGTTAATTGGTATTCAGTTGTATAAGGATAAGCACATCTAATTTCTATGTAGAATATTTGGCCTTGTCTCTCAGTCATGGCCATGGTCTATTGATTTTGAAACTTTTGCTTAGTTTTCTTGTATTAGTTTTTGATTTAAATTTAGATCAATTTAAGATAAACTGCTAATGTTAAGTCAATGATATTTGGTATGCAAATTTATTGACATTTTTTTGTATCGTT